TTTTATTTGCAGAATTAAAAATCTCGATTTATGATACAAGTTGAGTACTCATTTATGGAAAATGGCATTACTTGATGCATTTTAAGACAAGTATTTCATTTTTTTAACTGAGCAGTGCTCTTAACCACTTTTGACATATTTGATAAGGACCGACAAAATCACTAGAAGACCTACGCTGATCAATTCCCGATTTTAGTTTGATTTTCATTGACAACATTCATAAGGTATTGAGTGTATACGAATATTTTATTGTGTTATATATTAACTTATTCCTGATCAAAATCAGGAGTAAATGAATATATAAAACAATAGAGTTTTAATAAGTTTTCCTTCCTTATGACAGCACGAAACATTACATTTTTTTACTAGATCATAGAAACCATAATTGAGTACCACTATTTCATTTCATTTTCCCCTCAAATTGCTCACATGATGTGCATTTAAATGCTTGTCCAAAAAAACAGTCAGTATATAGAAACATATTTTTATCTTATCCTTTTTATGCGCTGTTTTTAATCAAATAACTAACAATATTGATAAACATAGAATAAGTTCTGATCGTCTTCAGAATAAAACTTTACCACCAAAAATTCTAAATGTGACAATAGTTCAAAACATGTGCATTATGTAAGAATGTACATTTGCGTTCTCCTGAAACAATGCAACATGCTGAAGCGCATTATTTGCCAAAGTTCAATGTAGATTGTACTGTTTTGTGGTAAAGTAAAATCACAAAAATACTGAACTCCGAGGAAAATTCAAAACGGAAAGTCCCTAATCAAATGGCAAAATCACAAGCTCAAACACATCAAACGAACGGATAACAAATGTCATATTCCTGACTTGGTACAGGCATTTTCTTATGTAGAAAATAGTGGATTGAACCTGGTAAAGGATTGTTGTAACACATAGATATACCCTGTGTCTTCTTTTAATCAAAAAAGTATCCAATGTTTTTTTTTTTTGTTTTTTTTTTGGTCAATTGTCTATTCATATGTTTTCAGGATGCCATGCAGACACCTGAAAAGGAGAGTTGTAGTGTAAGTTCTAAAGGACACAACAATTAATAGTTAATGTAGCTTATGCATATACAGACCTTAAAGTCAAAAACATGCACAGGTAGGTTTTTCTAAATTAAAACGACGGCTATACATCCTATGCATTAAGATAAGACCTATAAATTTTCTGTCGAATGAATGCGAATGCGCAAACAAATATTTTTGCTGTTTTGCTTCATAACAAATTAAGAAAACACCCAATGACAATAACAAATGCAACTTATAATCAGCTTTTAAACTGTCATGGGCAGCTTGACGAGTGTTACTGAAACTGCTTACCTTTTCAATACATCTGACAAAAGAAATATAACAAAAAAAAGAACTATGGAATATTCAAAACGGAAAGTCCTTTATCAAATGGCAAAAAACTCAAACACATTAAACGAATGGAAAACAAATATCATATTCCTGACTTGATACAGGCATTTGCTTATGTAGAAAATGGTGGATTAAACCTGGTTTTATAGCTACCAAAACCTCTTACTTGTATGACAGTCGCATATAATTCCATAAAATTGTTTCCTTCTAATTTTTGAAAGGTGTGTGTTGTTCTATCTTTTGTTCTCTGTGTGGCGTTTTCTGGTTTATCGTTCAATTATTTATATGTAATCCATCTTTGGAATCCTATTATCTGTTAAAAAGGTTTTCAGCATGCCCTTATGATAATTGCACACTCACACATACGCAAAAACATATTTTTCTAGATAGCTTCCATTGGAAACGTCATAAAGCAAATGATATGATGTACGTGCCTACAACACCTGTTTATTGTATAGCCTTAATCAGTATAAATATAAGGAGGTATGCTATGATTTACAAGGAGACAACTATCGCCCAGACACCAAATGAAGTGGGATTAGCTGTAGATCATAATACGGCCATCAATATTGGTTAATAAACTCATCATAGCTACCAGGATTAGTATTGTACTCCAGACACGTAGTGATGCTCGAAAAAGAGTACAAAAGGCCAAAATAAAGTTCAAAGTTAAAGATTAATGAGGACCCAAATCATCGAAACTATTGTTGCCGACAATTTCAACAATTTGTTTTTGAATAAAATTTATTACATACGGTAGTGATCAAAAGTCGTGAAAGCCAAACATATAGAACATCACACGCTGTGTCTTATTTTTGGTCAATACAACACCTATAAAGCATTCAATATGCCTCTTTCAACAGTTACAAATGATAATAGATACACATCAATGAAGTAGCAACATAAAGAACAAAATAATTTGTTGTAGGTGATATCGTTGTTTTTTGTCACACTATCAAAATATGGGGAAAAAAATCATACCTGGACGTCAAGGAGATGAAAGTTTAAGTAAGATATAGGCACGTGTGTTGATATCAAATTCAATATAAGCATATATTTATGTTTGAAAAAAAATAAAAGAATGTAAGCCAACGTTATAAACATGATTTTTTTTTCTAGTTTTATAGGAGTTCAAAATGTTGGTTAATCAGAATGAATTGACTGCTCATCTATGGAAACTTGCATTACTTGAAGCTTTTTTAAACAAGTATTTCATTTTTCTTAATTGAGCAGTAATATTTACGTCTTTGAGAAGGACCGACAAAAAGACAAGAACATAACTGCTGATGCATTATAATTTTTCCTAATATAGCATTGAGTACATGTATTAGGTAAGTCTAAAGGAATATTCTATTTTTGCATATGCATCGACCACATATATAAGCTTCCAACAAACAATTAAAAATATATATGTAAGATACTTTATCTTACCTCCTATATATTTCTAGGAATATCATTGGTTAAAAGTGAACACATGGAGACCCTGTATAATTAATATGGGGTTAGTGATCGTGTTTTATTTTAATATACGGTTAGTAGTGGTGTTTTAGCCACGGCATTGTCAGTTTATTTTCGACTTATGAGTTTGAATGTCCCTTTGGTATCTTTCACCACTCTTTGAAGGTGAAGACTCTCAGTTTTATGTAAACGTATGCAAATCGCTCTATTTGTACGGCACATTTCCTCATAACCATGTTTTAAAATTTTTTATCAAACTTGAGCTGTACAAGTAAACGTAGTAGAAAACAACAGATTTAGAAATATATATTTACAATTATAATATTTATACACATTTTAACAGAAGGCAAGGGAATGTCGTTTTATAAGAAAATCGAACATACAGAGAAGATTATTTTTCTTATGTTTCCTAGTACATTTTTGTATCGGTCTCGTACATTTGTCATAGACTACAACACAAAAGGAAAAAGCTTTTGTGATTGTGATTGTTTATGTGTAATTTTTGTATAAAAAATATTTTTGTAGGAAGAAAACTGCATAATCTTGTTCTTTAGGGCCGAACAACGTATAAATATATGTAAAAAACAAATACTTTTCAAGTCTTTGAACACAACATCAATTTATTCATTGATGAATTTCTTTTGAATCAATATTTGTGCTGAAATGTCATTAAATGAATAGAATAAATAATCGCTTAGTTATCATAAGTGTAAGAGGTGTAAGGGAGATAATTAATACATACAAATTATTGTAAATATTTTCAATTCATTTGATGGAACTACCATGTATATCTGTAAAGCAGAAGTATTATTTGAGCTGCGTTGGAAAGAAATTGACCTTATGCAAATAAATATCAATACATCTGTTAATTTAATTTTGGGTTGAAAACATCTCTATGCAAAGTCTGTAACGGTTTGAAAATTGAATCGATAAAAGAACCCTACAAAACAGACCAAAATTCATCTATTATTTCGTATTTGAATGTTCCAAAATCAATCAAATTTTTATACAGGTACATGTATACGTGCCCTTACATAAGGGAATGTCTATCCGACGCAGCTCTTTTATTAAAATAAAGATTGGTATGAATAAAAAAAAGTACAAACAGAAAAATATGGTATGTTTTTAAATTTAAATTCAATTTTGTACATGGTGAAAGAAAGATGACCTTGCCAATATATACTTCAAAATAACTATACATGTACTTGGAAAAAAAAGATTGTTTTTAGTTTTCTCTTTATACAACACATACGACTTTTGACATTTATAAGTAAGGCACTTTCTATATTTAATTGCACGAGTTACACCCTTTTCCTCATGAACAAAGGGTTATCTCAATAATACAATATTATAAAAATAAATGCTAAAATAGTAATGGTCTAAGGGAGATAATCATTAAATAAAATTGATTAAAAAAAAATCTGGAAAATGAGCTCTCGTGTGTTTTTTGTTCAAAGGTACTTACATTACAATGAACACTAGAATTGACATGATAATACGTAACTATGATATCACTGTGTTGGTTTAGAAAAATAATATTTCGCTGTTGTACAATCTATTAAATAATACAACATAAAAAAAATCTAAAAAAATACAGGTACTTGGAAAGAGTGTTCCAGTTATAACTTAATAAAACACTTTTGTGTATACAATATATCACAATGGTTTTGCATCATCAGGTCGCAATAATCATACAGCAGTAGCAAAAATATGTTTCTAATATTTCAGCTAAATATATATCCTCTATATCGACAATTATGCAGTTTAATATTCACTACCACGTGTTTATATATTTCCAAAAGGGGGGAAAGGGGGGCCGGGGGGCGGGGGGGGGGGGGGTGATGGTAACCTGAGTTTACCTGATTTATCAAAATAACAGTAAATAGTCATATCTAATGATATGTATACCTTACGTTATTAACACTCTTTCCAAAGACTCTCATTTCACGAATAATAAGTTTTAGTAAATACGTGTGCAATATATGAAAGTAGTGTACAGATGTTGAAAAAGTAATGGACTTATTTTGGTGTTAACATGAAAAAGATTTTTTCTGTGTAACATAGATCTTGACTTTTGATTTTGTTTTTGTTTTGAACTTGTCGTTGTGTTGCTATCGAATTGACAACTAAATTACAAACACATAAAACTGTTTCTCTTTTTTGCAGAATTTAGAGGCAACTGGAAAAACAGCACTGTTAAAATGTTGATGAAATTTTAAGTTTCTTTTGTACTACATAAGACTTTTGGAAAAGAAAAGTAATATGCAAAATAGGACGAAAGAAGAACTACAGTAAAATTTGGCAAAACCTGAGAACTATCTTTAAAAAAAAGCAGAATACAAAGAAATATGTTATAAGCGATATAAAAATAATAATTTTCATAAAGGATTATTGTTTTTTTAAAGGTTTCATGTTTGATGACACATTATTATTATTATTATTATTATTATTATTATTATTATTATTATTATTTTTTCAATTAATGTTTAATCAACGCTTGAATAAAATCAAGACAGTAATACCTTTGAACAAACAGAAAAAAAAAGAATCAAATCAATATCATATGTTAAGCCGTTGTTTTGCACAATTCTTATCGAAAAGGAAATTCAACAATACACAAATTGACAATATTAATAAAATAAGGTCCTCAACAACAAAAAGAAGTCTACACAATATGTAAAATTTTAAATCAACCCTAGCATATAAATAACTTGTTTATTATAGTTTTTGTTAACCACAGGATTGCGGAAATGACTAAACGATCAAGGATAGTTCAACTCGCTATTGATTTAAACGTGACGACAAATTGTATCTAGGGAGAATGCTACAATAAGTATGTAACATGTTCTCCTGTTTGTTTCCCACATAAAATTTACTTCAATAAATGTCCGATTATTAGGTTTTAAAATGTGTGCGTCAAGTTGATAGGTTTTATCCATAATGATACATAATTAGAACGAAAATTATGCATAAAACACACAATTTTATAATTAAACATTTTCAAGTAGTTTTATCCGAAACTCAAATGTTATATCGTCGAACAGGAAAAACTTGGCAACTTTGACCTTCATACGTGGACAGTAAGAAATGCCTATGTTTATACAAGTATATAATGTTAGGTAGTATATACAATCATTTGGCTTGCTAAGTCAAAATCTTTCCATGGAAATACTTTCAGATGCACTGTTTGTAAATACAACACAAATCTGGTTACAGTGAAAATTGTACGTTGCAAATATAATATGTTCGTCAATTCTAGTATTGGTGCTATAATCAAATTTATTCGAAGTAACGAATATGTTTAAAAAACATAGAAATAAAGACAGGGGTTACCAAAAAGTAATAGCTATAAAATAGCATATCACCAAGCAAAACTATCAATTGTTCGTTTAACTCAAGTCCGAGTTATTCTAATATTAAACAGGTCGGGAACTTTAGATTCATGATGTCAGAATACATTTGCATAGTAATTTCCCAAATAGAAGGTAAACATGGCCTTGAAAAATTGACCAATCGACTCAATGAACTACAATGCATTGTGGGCTACTACGAGTTTATTATCATTTAAAAACACGTTGAATTAGTGGGAAAACTGTCAACTAATATAGTGTCTGGGATTCTCGTTATAAATGTTTTTGTTCAGCGAATGTGTTTAATGTAAAATGTATAACATAATCTTCAATTTGCATGCTCAGATTAAAACAATATTGTTTACTGTCTTCACAATTCGACTTTCCTTTTTCGCCTTGTAAAAGTAGTTGAACAGGTTTTGTCCATTTAATGCATTGTACCTGTGCATTAATTTCACGGCGTGAAACAGTGAAATTTCCAATGAAGTGACTACTGTTATAATATTCAGTATTCTCAAAAAAAAATTGTTATAAAAAGCGGGGACGGTAAATAGTTTAACATATTTTGTATACTTTTGTCCATCGATGAAGTCCAAAAATATACCTAAGATGTATTTTTAACGTTCGGCTGCTGTCCTGTTGACTTATGTGCAATATCTTCAATCATTTAAATCCTCCGGTTCATAGTGGGTGCTATGTTGCCCATTTAGGTTTTCTAAAACGTGCATTGTATACAGAAATAAGAAGATGAGGTATGAGTGCCAAACAAGATCTATCTCCATTCAAGACACAATATAGTAAAGTAAGCAATCATAGGTTACAGGACGACCTTCAAGGATGAACAATGAGCTATCAAGGGACCAAAAATGACTAGAGTAGATCCAGCGCTGCAATTTTTACAAAATATATCAAAGTTCATTTCCTTGTCGCACATCAACATGAATAGCATCATAAATGATTTTATTAAAATTGGCAAATTTCTGAGTCTGTTAAAAATATCAACAATTCCAATATCTACATTAGAAGAAAACGAACTTTGCAAAGACGAAAACAAAACGAAACTACAGCTGCTTGCATAGAGTGAGAAAAATATTGTTTCATTACCTTCAGAACAAAGGGAACAGTTTGAAATAAAAAAAAAAGTCCAAAAAACTGAAATATGCCAAAAATTCAATACTGATAGATTATGTTAACATTGTCAGACAAGAATTAAGAAATGTCTTCAGCAGTTTCGATGAAATATGATAGATAATATAGGCTTTATACATGTTCTGTACCTGTCAAATTCTAAATATACAAATATTACACAGTATTCTACAGTATATATCTCTTTTCAAGATAATGGAAAACCAGTCTTTCTGAAAGGTGTTTGTATCTAAAAATAAGGAGATGTGGTATGATTGCCAATGAGACAACTATTCACCAAAGTTCAAAAGAAGTAGATGTAAGCAATTATAGGCAGCCTTAAGGCCTTCAATTATGAGAAAAACCCATACAGTATAGTCGGCTACAAATGGCCCCGATTGATGATTACACGTGTTTGTTTCTTAAAGACAAATTAATAAATACCTTCTATAAGTCTATTTTAAAAGACTTTTTAATCTTAAAAGAAGGTACAATATCATAACATCAATTTTGTGAAAAGCTGAGAAATTTTAGTGACCACAACAGATATTTGTCATACTCTAAGTCTTTCCCCTTTTTTACGAACCCAAAATTTAAGGATCCCTTATTTTTTCAACTATCTGAATGAAAGTTTTTCTTATGGGTAATTGTATTTTTCACTGTTATTTCGTTGCTGTGTTGTGGACGAATACCTGAAATCTCCGTGTCATCAGCAATCATATTAACGGCTATATTTCGGGTAATTCAAACATCGTTTCTTCGCTATAAATGTGGAAAAAAAATGAAAAACTAAGCAAAATTGTTAATGCATGAAAAAATGTGTTGTATTTCAGTAAATAACACGTGTTCTCGGTTCATTGTAAACACGTAGTAGTGCATCATGCATTGTTACTCATTTAGTGGATTAGTCAAAAACCCAGGTAAAAAAAATTGCGTCATACGTAAATAAACAATTACATGTGCGAGGACATAAGATTGCTTATGTATGCATATCCATAAAAGGTAGTGTTCCCGACCTGTTAAAAATGAATTGATCACGTTTATGATTGAAGCACTTGGATTTGTAAAACGTCACAGTATAAACTACTATACACTATACCTTCAATTTTGTTCAAATGCATAGGAATTATTTTATCTTGAAGTTGCAAACAGAAGCTGAAATTATTTGATTATGAAAATATTACAAAAAGCATATGTTTTGCTAAATGATTTATATCTGTCAGTTTGTATTCCTACAGATATAAAATGTGTATCCTGAATTTACTCTGGTTGCATACTTTTGCCGAAACTGTGAACGGATAGTAAAATATGCGGAGTAAGTTTCATGCAACCGATTGTCAAGGTTGAATGTACTAAAGTTAAGTAAAAATAAAAAATAAATTATGAAAAATAAATAGTAAAACAATTCCATTTTCTGTGGTTAGTACATACGGAAATGATTCATCCTAAGAATCAGCTGATTAGCTGGTGATTGCAATTCGTCTTCATCACATTACATAACTTGTCTTATGCTGTTTAAGTATCGGCTATGGATATGTATTGCTACAAAAGGTAAACATGTCCTGTGTACTATGAAATATGTAATACACATATTGTTTACATAAACAATGATACATGTAATTTAAATATTATTAATTGAAAACATTACATCTAGATAGTATTGCCATGTATCTAACGGAAACACTGATCATTCGCGGTCACAAATATGAAATAATTTGATCTCTTTTGTATGAAAATAAGTGAAAGAGTTTGCTTTGTTAATTGTTCAGTAAAATAACAAAAATACCGAACACCAAGGAAAATTCAAATCGGAAAGTCCCTTATCAAATGGACAAATCAAAAACTCATGGAATGGAAATCAAACTGTCATAGTCCTGACTTGGTACATGCATTTTCTATGTAGAAAATCATGGAATAAACCTGGTTGTATAACAGTCGCATAAAATGCCATTATATTGACAAAAAAGTGTACACAAAACAAACATTGAGACATAATACGTAAACATGTCAAAAATTGGGGTACAGCAGTAAACATTGTGTGTTTAATGTAAATCTTCAAGTTTAGTTTTCATAATAACTGTTTAAAAGTTTTGACATTACATAAATAGTAAAATAACAAATATACCGATTTACAAGGAAAATTCAAAACGGAAAGTCCCTTATCAAATGGCAAAATTAAAACCTCAAACACATCAAACGAATGGAAAACAACTGTCATATTCCTGACTTGGTATAAGCATTTCCTTATGTAGAAAATGGTGGATTAAACTTGATGTTAGAGCTAGATAAACCTCTTAAATGTATCTACCTTTACGGAAATAATTCAGGACTTTGAATTATACATGTATGTTAAAGGACATATAATTACACTTAATATTTTTATATAAGTTTATCAAACTTTTAACTGACCATGCAAGCAAGCTAACTGAAAATAACCTCTTGCGTGCTATTGATTCAAGGGGGCGTTTTTAAATGGAACATATAATGTTATATTTATTTTTTTTCTTAGTATTGACATTCTTATGATCATTTCTATTTCCAAACTGAAATTATGATAAAATTTCCAACAGTTATGGCGTTGCGTATTTGTGCTTTATATTGACATGTAAACAAACATTTTTAGGCACTTGGTGTTTTTAATTTTTATGCAAATACTCTTTAAAAAATATTTACCCTATTGTATCATATATCTTTCCTTTTCGGAGAACTTGTGCAGAGAAAAAGAAAGTAAAAAGCAAAGATTTATTCAATAATTAGTGGTTTGCTTTTCAACTCCACTTTCATCACTATTGGTTAGTTTGTGGCATCAAGTTTTAATTGGTGAAAGGAAGCGGAGTGTCCGGAGAAAATTACGAACCTTTGCCAGGAAAATTTGCAA